CCACTGATATTGAAGCCCTTGACATTGGCATCATCGGTATGTCCGAAGGCCGTATTAAAAACCAAGAAGAAAATAAAAATGAAATACATAATAAAACGCTCAGCTAAAAAGTAATCTCAAATCTGCTAGATTCAAAAACCAAGGAATAAAAATGTCTCTCCATCATCGCAGAATAGTTTCAGTGAAATGTTTTTTTTGTTGTTTTTTTTTCAAAGTTTTCAGTACAACATTAATAACACAGAACAGTTCGACATAGAGAGCAGTTGGCAAAAATGCAGCTTGTTGAAAGTAGCGATGGATCATGAACCATTTTGAAGCACAGCACATTTTAACCTGTAGGAGTCCCATTTTAACCAAAGTTTGTGAAAAATGTCAAGTTTCAAGTGAATTTTAAAAGTTATTTGTTCCATGTTTCTTATTTCAGTCATGATTTCAATCCAGTTTGAAATCGTGGGGGCTGCCTGTGTCATCCATTTCTTAGTTATGGCTTTTTTTCCAGCAGCAAGCATTGTAAACTATTCTAAACTTAGACTGAACTTTTATTATCATTTTGTATACAATGTGTATTTTTTCCTTTTCGCTCTCATCACATTTCTATTTCTGTGCAGCAGTCATCAAATGTAAACAGTGTGAGAGAAAAAAAAAAACATGGTGCAAAAAAGCGCATTGATATGGAAGTTCAGAGCATTAAAATATATAAAGGGTTGAGATGCAGAAACAGCAAAGGCATAAACATGTCTTGATTTTTGTTTGCATCCAGGAAAATCTAAGAAACTGGGTTAGGTTTATGGTTAGAAGCTGGACCAGACAACCTGGCACTCTAAAGAGGCCTATCAAAGCTCTGTGGTTAACTCACCAGTGTGGGGAGTGTTTACTTTTAATAAATGATACATTTTCTAATAGCTTTGGGGGTTTAGAATTTCCTAGTCTGTTATTTAATTTGATCTTCTTGACCAAGGTACAGAAACTCCTCTGCTTGAGAAGGGAAGTCAGACCGAGGATGGAGAAAGCGATATTTCTTAAGTTCAACGATTGTTTAGGCGGCTTCTTCAAGCAGGAAAATGTTCTTCACCATTCTGCAGAAATGTTTCCAGAATGGTTTGAACAACCCCAACATCAGTCTGAGGGGTTGACTTGGCTTCCAAGGTCTTCAGATCTCAATCCAGTCAACCATTGAGATTCATTGGATTTCCATCATTGCTCAAAGCGATGCTGTGAAACATTTAGCCACGAGGGGCTCTGGAAATCTCTTCCAGGCTTAGGGCATCTAAAAGAAAATGGCAACAATGCACCAGTTTCACTCTGTGTAACAGACCACTTTGGACCAACAGACTGATAAGTCATGGAGATCCAACCCTCTCAGCACTTAGCATTGAGCAAGTGCTGAATAGTGACTTAGAGAACAATTTAACACACCTTAAAACAAGCTAACACTTTGGTCCAAGTTACACAGTGTTGCTTTAAAGACTGCTGCAAACGACCTTGAAACAGAAACCCTGAAAGGTCGAGAGAAGTCCATGAGGAGACAGGTCAGGCAAGTTCTGAAAGGTAAAGGGACATCTAATTCATACCATATGTCTTGGCAGTTCATCCAACTCAGCTTGAGGCTTTGGATGAACAAGTCTCACCTATAAGTCTACTTCTACAGCTCAGGGTATCAGGGGGATCCACTGTTGGTGGAATGGAGCCTTTAGAAGTCCAATGGAGAGAATAAGAAGATGAATAATGGAGGATTTGTTGGTTAAAATGCAAACTAATCAACATAAAGTGTCATGGCACTCAGTTTAAATCTATAGGAGGTTATGGACAAAGTCTGATAGTGGCAATAGTGCCTAATTCAACATGGAACAGATGTTGGCACTATTAAAAGAAGGTGCTGGGATGGAACCCAGTCAGAGGATGAATTCACATCCATCTTTGGTCCGGAAATCTTGGCCTTAAGCAAACAACCGGACTGCGACCAACTCTTTCAGGGGGTCTCAGTCTACTTCCAAATGGACTCTGATCCAGTTGACTTCGCTTTGATCCAACTTAACTAAAGGAACAAACATCTTTTAGACTTATCGAGCCACCATAGGAGAATCTATAACGATGGTAAATGTTATAAGTCATAACCGGTCCTCGTTTGTTGCTTAGCAACTTGCTGCCTGCAGGCAGGTGGTCAGGGCACGTAGAGCACACCGTCTCTTTCGGCGTAAGGAAAAGAGTATGGCGGAACTTTGCCAGATCTGCTGCTCTTTACATTCCCTATAATGCTTAAGCTGTAATAATGGCTGATATATGCATTTTGTGGCTTTGTTCACAACTTATGATTAACTTGAACAAAGTTTAATTTGAAAGCGAATTGCACCAAACCACAATATTAAACCCCAATTAGGAGAACACAGCATATACGGATTCTTTCTTTCTTCCTCTAAAAAGTCTTCATGTGTCGTCCAGCTGCAATTTGATCCATCAGTGCATGTTTTCCTTATAAGATACCAGTTGGTTGCTATTTTTTGCTAAAGAAGTTCTCTGATAAAGTAGTTATGTTGGTCTAAACCAATTTATTTGGACCGAGCTCAATCCTACTGTTGGAAAACATCTCATCAGTGGTTTTAAGGATATTCAGCTTCCAGCTGTTATTAGTAAAATAACTCCTCTATCCATAAAACTAGCTAAGATGAGGGAATGGGCATGGCACATAGTTGATTTGCATGTGTGGGTGTAGGCCTGTGTGTAAACCCAGCTCATCTCTGGCTGTGCGCTAAGAAAATGTCCACATAAGATTTATCTTCAGTCAGTAATGTGGCCTCTTTTCATGCACGCAAAATTCATCCTTATCTCTCTGCAGCCTGCTTTCTCTCTGCTCTGCTCTGCTTTTAGAGTCTCTTTTTCTTCCTCGTGGCGAGCACAGCAGCATCGTTTCCTCGCCTCTGTGTCACCTCCACTCCCTCCCTCCCCTCCGCCTCCTGCTGCTTCCATCCACCCTTCTCTTTTTTTTTTCCGCCGTGTGTTTGCAGATGAAACGGGCAGCCTGCCAGTTTTTCATATTTCTTGGCAGCAAAGTGGCGAGCCAACTTCCTGGGGATGGGGAGCGGCAGGGTAGGGGGTTGGGCCTTGCAAAAGGTTACATTTGCACAATGTGTCTGTGGAAAAAAAAAACAGCAAAGAAGAGGGAGAGAGTGGAAAAAACGAAAGAATAAAGAAAGGCAAAGCTGGGCTGGATCAGCTAAACGACTCCCCCGTTCGGGGATAATGGAAAAAAGCCCTCTGGGGGAATATTCAGTATGCAAGAGTATCGAGTTGCATGCAGTCATTATAATGATGTGTATGCCTCTTTCTTTCTCTTTTTGTCTTTTTCTTTGGAATGTATCTACAACACACACACCTAGCTTAGCCTCACACCCACAGAAACGGTGCGGGAGCAGCTCCGGCGTTAAAGAGCTGGTGATTGGATGCAGGTTTATAGGACAAACTGGACAGAAGAAGAAACTTCAGCTGGTTAGTTCTATACTTCACCTCCGTCTCTGTGAGGGTTACAGAAGTTGGACCAACTTAAAAAAGGTAAAGGTGGTTTTGTTGGGAAGATGAGGAGTAAATTGCTGGTCCCTTCAGTGGAAAACAGATGATTGAATTAATTTTCAGTTCCTGGTATGGCTGCAGAGGCATTGCACTGGGTTCCCAAGTGCCCTCTTTCCATTGGGATCTTACGCTGATTCAAAATCATATACCCCGTTTACACTACCCTTGAAAAACCGTGCAGAGATCGGTCCGAGCTCAGTAACTGAGATAACTTATCGTGTGTAAATAGAAA